AGGGCACACTTGCAAAAGACTACAAGACTACTAGACTACTTATAAAGTTTGCGACAGATGCATTACCCTGAAGACTAAAATCTAAGTCCCTACTGTACTGTAATTTACCTACACCTGCCGCTTGATGATACAAAATAGTTATAAGTAATAAACCTATAGACTCCAAAATAGAAGGTTTTATTTTTCATGTTTTGTTCTTTAGTAACCTCACTCACACACTCCGGCAGTTAGGCAAACATAAATTATTTTAGACTGATAAAATATTTTGTTTATGAAACTCATTTTTAATGTCTTACTTTAAAATTATTTCTAAATACCCGGGTGTAATCCCTAAGGAAATTATATTTTTTCTAACTCGAAACGAACTTTAATTCCCTATATGGACATGACAGAAGGCCTGTATAAAGATATAGGACGCATTTAGACTATTTACTTGGACATGACGGTTTCCTCACGACGATTACCTTTGTAAATTAAAATTATTGCAATTATAATTTTCAGTAGTACCAAATCCTAACGAAAATTATTATTCAAGGTGGGCAAGTCGTTTTCTCGTCGTAAATTCTTAGTGTCAGACCCTAAAATACTTAAATAATTACATTTATTTTAATTTTAGTAAAATCTAAAATTCCTATATATGAAAGCCATGTATATGATACCAATACATGAATTGCACTAAAATAATTTGCTATTTGTATGTAAATATTATGATGTACATACAAAGGTGTTACTAGTAATTCATAAGACCTCTAAAATTCGTTTTTAAGCGGTATCAGGGCAGAAGACAGCACTCTGAGAGTTAGACATCTGCACGTTGGTATTAGGCGGCAGGCCAAATACTAAAATAGCTTGGTAAATAATTATACTCTCATTGCTTCGCACATCACCTCGTTACTAAATTCTTAATCCACCTAGCAACTTTCTAGTACGTATTTGTGTTTCCCATACTATTGATAAATAATTATGCACTTACCAAATCCTTATGTAATTCCTTAGAAATGAAGGGTGTCAGCTTAGTTATACCGACAAATATAAAAAACACCCCTAATAAAACTGATAAGCTTTTCAATACAATTGAACCCATTCTTATTCGACGTATTAATCTATATTGGGCACAGAAGTTCACAACACCATAGGAAATATGTTCACGATTCACGACGAATAGCTTCCATTTATAGAAGTTATCATATTAACCACAACCTATAGATCACTTGTTGTGTAAATTTACGGCCTCTACTCTAAACTCATCACGAAAGTATATTATTAAGTTAGGTGAATAACGTGACACAAAAAATTGTACAGAAAGCAAATTCAATTCGCGCCGGCGCGAAAAAATCCATACCTACTTTACACAATTTTACTTGAATTAGTGATGTGAACCGGTTTTAGAAAAACCTTAATAAAACAGGCTTTTTAAATAACCGAAAAACACCGGTTTCTTTTTACTAAAACCGATTACTTTTGGACTCACTTATGTTTTATTATTTGTGTTGAACGCAGTGATTATATTCTCTTTAATTCGTGTATCCTAACCATGAAGGTTAGAGAACAGGAGAACGATCACTACGAACTAAAGCATAGCCCGCCTGAGGTCCATGAAGTTGGCACCCGGAAATAATTATTAGGTATGCGACTAGTATAAATCGATTGCGCGTAAAAAATGATGTTTATTGGTACTAATTATTTGTTACGCCTGCGCTTAAAGCGCTTTTTTCTTTAGTTGGCAGCAATAGCTTCCTAAAGAGCTTTTCCAAAAACCTATATTATTTACGACTTTATAGTTTTTAGTTTCCTTAAAAAGTTATAGTTATAGATTGAAACCTCTTTTATTATATTTTTAAATATAAAAAATAAAAATATGGTGGCAAAATTGGTAGTAATTCGTTAGGTACGTCAAGGAAAATTTATATTTTTTAAATATATTTTTTTAACAACGGTACCTCCAAACTAGGATTTTCTCCTGTATCGTGGGGGCAGTTTACAAACGTAAATTTCACATGGACAATCCTCCAGACCCGGAACAATTACTTGTAGGCCATACAAATACTTGTTCCGTGCGAGATTCGAACCCGCGGCCCTTAGCGCTGTAACTCAATGCTAAGCCACTGCACACTACGAAGCTGTTAAAATATTGTTATACTGATATTAATGAATGAGTCGAGATAAAATGTTACGAGCCGCAGGCATGTTACAAAATGTTGCTATTCAACGCCTCGTTGCTGAGGCCCTGCACACCAGCCAAAACGTGATAACAAGGTTGTGATCACCTTATCGCAGTACTGGAGATGTGGCTGAACGGCACACGGATATGGTGTTACTACGAAGAGACATGATCAATTTTTCCAAATGACCGTCAGAAGACAACAGAAAAAAATGAAAGAAATGGATTTCACATGAATGACCACCAGTATTCATATTTGAATTATAAAAGAAATAAAAGTGATTACAATCTATAACTTTAACTTTTTATGAAAACTAAAAATATTTTAAACTACAAAGTCATAAATAATCGTAGACAGAGAAACCTATAGACTAATGATGGCATAGAGTTTTAGGTTCAAAGCTCTTTATGATTTAGCTAATTTGCTGCCGACTAAAGAAAAAAGAGCTTTAAGCGCCAGCGTACTAGGGATATTGCACTCTCGAGCTCCGACGCTGAGGCTGAGGTTATGGGATTATTTAATTATTTGTTTACGATGTAAATAAATAACTTACGTATAAACTGATATCGGGTGCTGATTGCGCATGTGAAAATCTACAAATTTACATTGTTTAATTATTCTTTTACCATCATTTTTAAGCAAAAAAATAAAAATTTATTATTTCACAGCACCCACCTTAGTTTTTTAAATATCTAAACAAATATTTGACGCGCAAACAAATAATTAGTACCGATAAACATCATTTTTTACGCGCAATCGATATATACTAGTCGCATTTTTAATAATTATTTCCGGGTGCCAACTTCATGGACCTGCCCGCCTGTCCTTGAATATTGTAGAATTTATAGCGGCGCTGACGTCGGTGAGTAGTGACTGCGAAGTGAGCTGTTTATGAATAAAAGTAGATGAAGTTATTTGAATACTGTACAAATTTTCTCCGCGGTATTGGTGAGAAAATTTTCATGCTCCGTAATTTTGTAATTTTTGACAAAAAGAAACATTAAAAAATGGAGAAATATTTTATTGTGCGTGGATGTGCAAGTGGTTTAGCCTCTGATCGGAAAAATAGACTGAAAATGACTTTTATTGAACGAACTTAGCGAGCGCAGCGCCGCGATTATGGTGTCCATATTTCTGGGACACTATTTTCCAAGGCGATCGTTATCCTGTTCTCTAACCTTCATGATCCCAACACCAAAGTCAGACCATAGATATAGAGAAAGTCAGACCAAGTTTAAATTATCTTTGATCGGGGAATCACCGCGCCGTTTCAGCCGTCAGGCAACACTGTTTGACAAATTTCAGTCTGTACCGTTATTCTTTTGCATGCGTAATGTGTATGGTTATTTACGATTTAGTTTGTTATCAGGTTATTTAAACGTTTCGAAAGAATTAGTCGATGGGTAAGTAATTAATTACTACTTAATACCTTGTTTAATAGAAAACCTTTTTGTTTATAATTTGTATAAATTGCCTGATTTTTTTAATCAATGATGCATTTTATTGCATTGCAGGATGCTGAAGGTAAAAGTAAAATCCATCACACGAAAACATTTCGAAAAAATCATAATGATACTGCCAAATGTAAGCTATTTGAAAAAATTATTAAGGTTGGTGGCAGAACTTCTAACATGTTGGCTCATTTTAAAAGACTCCATCCACAGGCTACAGTGGAAGTGCAGGGGAATGTTGTAGGTTAACAGCGCAGCAACCTATCCGCCTTAGAACAAACTAATCAAGAACACTCTTTAAGCACTTCAAAAACTCCTCTTCTCCAAACTACACTGAAAGTGAACTTGATCAGTAATAAGAAAGAAATCGATAATTAATGTTTGACCATTATGATCGCTGCAGATAGAGGATTTAAGAAGTTCACAGACGTTTTGAATCCAAACTACAAATTACCTAGTAGGCAAAAAATCAAGTACGAATTAATGCCGCAAAAGTACCAAAATTCAAAGTTAAAGCTTGCTATTGCACTTGATAATGTTAAGCATGCTGCACTAACCGCTGATTTGTGATCTAACCAAAACATGGACTCCTTTTTTACGGTTACAGTTCATTTTTTTCTGAAAGGTAATTTAAAAAGCTATGTTTTGACTACCTGAGATGTCCCCACTGCACAGCTGAAAATCTTGCCGAAATTATGGCTGAAGAAACTTACTAGCCGAATGGAAACTACCGGTTAGTTTAAACCGGCAAAATTACAACCATTGTCACAGACAACGCTACTAACATGATGAGAATGTGCGAATTGCTAAACATACGGCATATGCCATGTTTTTTTTGCTTTTGTATTGTGCATACGTTTAATCTTACTGTCCCTACCCTACAGAAGGTTTTTAAAAAAGTCTTCTGTAGGGTGGCGAGCGCTAAAAGCGGAACTGAAAGAAAGAAATCCAAATATTAGTCTTTTAAAGTTGATACAAGAAGTATTAACGCGATGGAACAGTAAATTCTACATTGTTTCTAGAATTCTTCAATAATTATCCGATGTTCTGGCATTAGTATCTAGAAAATTAATCCCGGCACCAGACTACTTATTAAGAAAAAGCGGGCAAAGAAATAATAAAGATTTTGGAAATATTCGAGCAGGCTACAAAGCTTGTTAGTGTTGATACACATCCGACCAGTTCATTAATCATACCAGTAATTTGTGGAGTGTACGAGAATTTGACCACCATTGAAAATCCTCTGGAGACAGATATAAGCAAAATGTTTGCTCTTCTGTAAGGCGAAATATGAGCAGCAGGCTTTTAGTATACGAGACAAGAACCGTCACACAAATGTCAACATACTTACATCCGGTATTAAGATCTGGTTTTAGGCGCTCGGAAAATGCTATCTGCAAAAGAAATAGTAAGAAAAGAGTTATCTAATTTAATAAAGGACTTTGAAACCAATATTACGGTTACGACCTCAGAACAAGCAGTGCAAACATCAGTGGAGACATTGATAGAACAGAAAAAACCTGGACTCTTAGACTTTTTGAAACAAAGGAAACCCACTATCCATTCAACTGCATCCGCATTTAACTTAATGCGCATGTATTTAGAGACAGAACCCGAGCATGATGAAGCTGAAACTGCAAAAGCGGCTGTATGTGCTGGTACTTTTTGGGGCAAGAACAAACATTGAGCGCCATTGAACGTTTTAGCGCTAAAATATTTATTGGCGCCAGCAACGTCTGTACCTTCGGAAAGGATGTTTCCAACTCGGGATATGTGCTGTCATCTAGAAGAAGCAAGTTGAAAGCGGATGCTGTCGATCACATCTGTTTTATTAATCAAAATTACGACTTATGCGATTAATTATTTTAAGGTATAGTCCGTCAAGAAAGTTATGAAAAGAATATTTTTGGAACTGTACTAGAATTATTTTGCCAGTGCAGTTTGGGTCATAAATCATCGGAGTATTTTACTCTCTCTCCCACTCACGGGCCTTAGTGGGCGAGCATAGTGATGCGCATTATTGTTGTCGATAAGCGATAGTGCATTTAGTTTTGTCATTATGTGGGTTAGTGATAAAAATGAAAAAATAGATAAAACAACGTATTTATTAAAATAAGCGTGTAATTGCTCGTATAAGGGAGCGTTGATAAAATAGAGCGGGTTTGCTGGCGGGATGTTAACTGGAGAGCATACAGTAGCAGTTAGATGAGCAATAAATAACACTTCTTGAGAGTTTCTTCTTATTTTATTTCTTGATTCCTTATTATTACATTGCCGGATTTGGAATGTTTTACCACGAAAAACGCCCCTTTTTTATAAGCGGCTGTAACCAATCATAATTAAGAAAAATCGCACACGGCATTAGTGAATCTATTGACCAATCAGAGCACAGAATAACCCTTTCTAAGAGAGATTTACAATTTCCTTAATAAACGTGGTAAAACATACCTTACAACATTTATATTTATTCCTAACGATAGATACAACTTATTTCTATTATTCTAAACCTAAATTATTTAATAAACCTTTATTTTACACTTATAAAAAATAAAAATAGCTTCGCGGGCGCTTCACGGTTTAGCTCCGGAGTAGGATAGTATTTTTTGCCGAACATACAAGTAGCGCCGCCAAGAGGTAGGAATGTACAACACTTTTTTCAGGAATAATGCTTAAGAATCTATACAATATTTTTTCGTGAAATTTAAATCTTTCTCATAATGAAATAACATTATATAGTGATTAATTGACATATTAATGTTTCTTTTGAATTGCTTTAAAGGAAAAAGAATTATATTAATCACCTGTATGTTAATAGCTCTTAAAGTTATGATAAAAGAAATCTTACTAGAAAATAAGCTTATACTTGCGTCTAATGTTCTAATCAGACCTAAATAATATTAAATAGATTCATATAAGTTACTTTAAGATAAGAATAGAAGTGTTTAATTTACTTTCCTGTTTTCAGCACTAATCAGTCTTTACACTAAGCTTTATTTTACGAATAGGAAACAATTAAGATTAAATACTATCAATTAGTTTTAAATCACTGATAAGGAATAATTAAGATTAAATGTTCGAATTCACTTTGTCGTCGCTAACAAAGCGTATTTGTTAATTATTGCAATGTAACAAGTTATATTAAAAATAAATATAAAGATAAAGATAATAACTTTTATCCAAAATTAAATCTAAAACTATTTACATTAAAATTCAGTGAAAAATGTTAAAACATTGTTGATAACAACACGTACTTGTGCTGATATATTGGTGCCAACAGGCAAACCACCGCCGCCGTGTACCTGCCTTCGATGATTCATTTGATGTTATCGATAATGGCTTTACACCCGCGCAACATATTCACCGCCCTCGCCGGGCTGAGGCCGAGCTATGATTTATGACTCCAACTGCACGGACAAAATAATTTTACTATATTTTATTTATTATATTTTACTGGTTTTGCTTGTACTGGCAAGAATTAATTATTGTCAAACTGAGTAACTCAGCTGTCATATTAGCTTTATAGTTGATGTGCTCTAAGATTTTTTGTTATATTTCGAGTTTTCCATATCGTATAACCGTTTAACAAAAATGAAACGCAGTGTTTATAAGAGCCGTACCAGACAAGTCATGTTTAAAGTGTTTCAAGAGTGTATGACCGAATTTCAAGCGGGAAAGTTTCTTTCCGATTTAGATGATCATCGGCAAAAATAACGACATTTGGTGTCTTGTACAATTTGGAAAGTTATTTATATAAATGATAAAAAGGAGAGGGGCAAGGACTCTACCCTAAGGAACTCCGTATTTATTCAATTGTGTATCAGAAGAGTATATTTTTTCGGTTTTCAATTTGATACCTATTCGTGTAATTTGTGCTATTTGTTTTCTGCCTTCTAAATAAGATTTTATTAGATTATGCACGTTTCCTCTAACTCCATAGATGTATAATTCGTCTATCAGTGAATTGTGATTTACATAATCGAAGGCCTTAGTCATATCTATATACATTGCCACAGCTGGTTTCCTAGTATCCATGTTCCGGTATATTTTCTCTAGAAGTTGTGAAGATATTAGTATTTTTGCTTTTTCTGAAGCCTATTTGTTCTTGGCATAAGATATTATTATTTTCCAAATAAATGTATAGTCTAATATAAATAATATCGATAGTAACGCCATCGGTCTATAATGACTAACATTTGTTCTATCATCTTTTTTATATAAAGGCTTAATGATTGCAATTTTCAGGTTTTCTAGTAATGTTCCACTTTGGATGCGTTTGTTTATATTATTACTTAGTATATAATAACTATATAATATTAAAGGTTCTTTAATTATTTTAGTGTGTATGTTATCATATCCGGTGGTGGTTGTATTTTTAAGGTTTTTAATGATTGTTATAATTTCTTGGGTTGTTATTGGTTTCATGAATATTGATTTGGCCGATTTGTGACTGTAAGTGTCTTTTTATTAGGTCCCTTTTTCCTTATTAGTCTGTATTTGATTTGAATAATAATTATTAAAATAATCCGCTATCAATTTAGGATTTGTCACATACTGTCCTTGGATCTTTATTCCCTCAATATTATGTTTAGGTATGTTTGGCTTCACTGCATTTATCACTTTCCACGCAGTTTTTGTTTTATTATGACTTGTTTCAATGATATAATTGTTTTGAGCTTCTTGTGTCTCTTTCACAATTTTTTTATATCTCTTTGTATAGTTTTTAAATTTTTTTGTTTTGTGTCTTTACTAGGTTAGGTCTCAGTCTATATTCCCACAGTAGTTTTCATCTCTTTTAGCTGCATAATTTTACTCCCCGCGTAATCCATTTTGTTTTCTTGATTGGGTTTACTTTACATTTGATAATAGGGAAGCTGTTGTAGGCTGTATTTGGGTCATCTGTTTCATATGCTTCGGAGAAGCTTAGAGTGTCAATGCATTTCATAAAAAGTTTTATATTCTCGTTGTTGTAATCACGTTTAAATGTATGCCAATATTTAACACGTTTTTTTTTAATGGCCATCTCATTAACTGTGCTTTATGATCGGAAACACCCAACTCTATTATTTCACTATTACATCCTCGTATATTATGCAATATATTATCCAAACAGGTAACACTACTAGGTCCTGTCGGTTCATTTATTTCTATTTTCAAGTTAATTTTTTTTACAATACGTTCAAATTGAATGGAATCTTTAGTTTTCTTAAGCATGTCTATATTAAAATCACCACTAATTATTTTTTGTTTATTATTATAGCTGATGAGATGTAACATTTTTGTTAGGTTTTCAAAGAAAATATTTATTTTATTTTGATTTGGGGATCTGTATATGCATAATATAATAACTTGATGGTCTGTCAGCTCTATGGCACAGCATTCAAAAACGTTAGGGATATTACATTGTTTTATTAATTCTATTTCCGTAAAATTTATGCCGTTGTACACCAATATGTTTGAACCTCCGTTTCGATTATTACAAGCAAAGTATGTAGCTAGTTTATAGTTAGGCATATTTAGAATGTTTTCATCGCTCTGTAACATGTTCGGTGAAGCAAAAAATACTAACATTTTTTCCATTATTCGAGAGGTCATTCAAACGTTCTTTTAAGTCACATTTATTCAAAAGTCCATTTATGTTTTGATGCAGTATATATAATTTATTATACAGGAAAACAATCTTGTGTTGGGTTAGTATTCTCCGTTCCATGTATGTCATGTGAATGTGTATTATTTGACGGACTTTCTGCTGCTAAAACCCCCCATTGTGGAATATAATCACTATGGTTACTCAGAACCATAGCTATGAGTGCTCAGAACGATTCTTTTTAAATGTTATTTATAAGAATTATACAACTAAAATTTTATGAGATTTTTTTTCGTTACTAAATTACGCTTCTAAAACTGATGTATCCAACGAATTTACAGTCCACCAGAAGATGGTAAGTGGCTATTGCAGCACATGGAAACTTGCAGCTAAGTTGTAAGTTGTCACCTCTACGAACTGACATGAAATGCGTACAGCCTTTATTTATACCGGTAAGAGAGTGATTACCCAGACGACCTCTCAGACATAAATGGGTCTTACCATTTAATTCACACATAAATTTTTTTGATTACCCAGACAACCTCTCAGATATAAATGGTTCTTACCACTTAATTCACACATAAACTTATAAAATTGGTAATATAAAGTGCTGAAAACACGTTATTTTTATACTCAATCCTTTATAGATAACCAATTTATTGTAAAGGGTTGACTCTAATTATAAAGTAAATTTAAATATGTAATTTTAATTATACCTAAAACTAAATTTATTGAGAATTCGTTTCGTTACTAAATTACGCTTCCCTAAATTAAGAGGATTTACTTCAAATCATCGCGTTTACTTTATATACTTCAGTATATTTTCTTCGCCGCGTGAATGCAAGAGACCACTACATAAATAAATAAATATAGTAGGTACAAAAGTAAGTTTGTTATACGTTTTTTATATAAATTTTTTTGTCTCGTATCAATTTATAAAAGTTGCGTTTCAAATACTGTGTCGTTCACGTGAGAAATAAAGTAGTCAGAAGTAACTAAAATGAAATGTAAAGCGCAGCTTTAAGCCTTTAACTACAAATCATGTAAAAAAAAACACACATTTTTATATTCTACAAGGTCCAATATGCGAAAACATAGAATAC